TTTTCCTTCTTTCTCTGTATATTGGGCTCAGAGATTACACTGTGTCTCTATGTGAATATGGACAGTTAGCATTTACCAACATGTATCTGTCTACTTTCTCTTGTTTAAAAAAAAAAAGAAAAAGCTAAAAAAAATAAATAAAATAAAAAACTGGGGTTCTAGAAGGTGAGCTGGGTGGGTTTCAGATGTTGGGGTGGGTTACGTGGGCATTTTGACAACATGGCTTCTTCTCCTTTGGCATGTTTAATTGTGATGTTTAACAAACATCCTTGCAGTTTAAGATGACACTTTTAAAATAAAATCTTCTCCTAATGATGACTTTGAGCCCTGCCACTTGATGGAGAATCAGCAGAACCTGTAGGATCTTATTTGGAATTGACATTTCTCTATTGTAATTTTGTTCTTGTTTATTTTTAAATTCTTTTTTTTGTTCTTTTTTTTTTTTTTTGTTTCACTGGAAAGGAAAGAAAGATGCTCAGTTTTAAACGTTAAAGTGTACAAGTTGCTTTGTTACAATAAAACTAAATGTGTACACAAAGGGACTGGTTGGTCTTCACTGAAAGAAACAGTTTTAATAACCTGTTTTGAACTTGTTTTGTAGTTTCTTGGCATTTTGGGGGGCATTTGGTCAGTATTGATGCAGCTTGAAGCAACCTTGCGGTTGTGTGCACTGATGAGCAGTTCATTGAGTTGCCACTATTTGAATACTTGTGAAATGTTTCGTTTGATAGTTACTGCTGCACACTCCAGTTCTTTAATTGCCAAACTTAGTAAGACAGGGCTGTGGGTGCATATGCCTTGTGTGAACATAGAGGTTTATATTGTGTTTTGCAAGAGGAAAAACCACTTGATTATTAACTATCTGAAGTAGTAGCTTGCAGCATTGTATCTCCGGTAAATCAGTTTGCATAAAGATACTATGCAAGCTCAGAATAAAAAGATCAAGGGGTTTTGTAAATCTTTTCAGTTGAAAATCTTAAGTGCAAACTAATTTTGGGGCTATTTCAAAAAGCAAGATTATTAGCAAAGCTTGTGTACAAAAAGTTGCTACTCGACTGCTTTCTTTCCTTGGTAGCAGCATGTATATATGCTTTAGATCTACTGTACTCTTCCTCATGTTAAGAGACTGCATTTGAGTAGCTTGTAACAATTTCACCTAGAAGTTGTTGGTACTGATATTCCACAAAGTGTAATGAAAGTTGTTTTAACATGCTGTGCTTTTGAAATATTTAAAAGAAAATGTTGTATCAGCTAATCTAAAATTCAAACAGCTAGTTCTCTTTGGATGTGTAGAAAAGACTGTCTTCTGGGAAGACTTGCTGTTATATTCTCTGATTCCTTTTCCTCACAGAATTTGCTATCATTAAATTTGGCATTTTTGATGCTTAAGAATACACTTAGAACAAAATCAATCTCTGTTTAAGACATGCCCAAATAACATGTGGGGGAAACATTCTGTAAGTGTCTGGTCCAGCTTGAATTTAATCCAGTTATCAGAGACAATAAAACATCCAGTCTGCACGTGAGCAATGCAAAATAAGGCAACCATTTACTTCAGTCCATCTCAACAAAAGCTTCTGCCCTGATCCTGCTTGCAGGGTAAAGATGATGTTAATCAGGAATGGTTTCTTAGCATCTAGAGAGAGGAGGAACCAAACCTATGAAGTCTCTTCAGTTTTAATTCTTTTTATTTGATTCTTTTTTGTTGTGAGATTGGAAGCCATTTGCTGTTGTGATAGAGGGTCAGTGTGCTATTTCTTGCCATGATGCCTTGTTACTTAATTGTTACGTAGTCCTAACTGTAGCTTTTCAAGGAAAATAATCTTTTCCAGGACTTTTTCATGCTTTAGGAAAAATACTGTACCATTGTTACACCCCTGTTGGTTACTAGCAGAAAACCGCTAAAAACTTTTGAAAGTAATCAAAGCTTCAGGTTCTGTAAATTCAAATCCATGAACAAGAAATGAGAAGTCTGGATAATGAAATACTACTTCTGAGGTTTTTCTTCGCAGATTGCCTAAATCTTTAGGGTTCAGAGGTTGCCAAAACACTCTTGCTACTGTATTGATAATACTGAATTGCTTGAGAAGCTTAAGGTTTTACTCCTGACAATGGCTAAAGAGTAAACTAATGTGCTAAAAGAATAAACTGTTATTTAAGTGTATTTTTTTTCTAGCAATGGAAGACATGAGTAGGGATTAGCACATTTCTCTGCAATGCTGAAGAAATACTACAGATGGCCGTCATGTGCTCTGACTGTTCACTTAATGTCTAATTTGGCTGAATGTGTAATAGGTGTCCATTTTACTTCATTTAATTTGTATATGCATATAATGAGCATTTAAAGCCTTTCACCTTGGATAAGAGTGGGAGATTCATTCTTACTATGTGTCTGTATCTCATTAATTCCCCACTGCTCTTTGAGCTCCTCACATCCAGTTAATGCTGCCAATTGAAATCTGTCACAGGTGGAAGCTGAATTCAGCCTTTCTGGCCTGAATTTCCAGAGTTAGAATATAGAGTTGGCAGCAGTTTAAAAAAGAATGAAACTACTGTTCTGGGGCTGTATGACTTGAATGACTTGAAAGACTATTTTTGTTTGAAGTTTAATTGCTATAAACTGGAATCTTTTGTCTGTAATTTCTAGTGTCAAAGGAAAGCAAATACATCCATGTGTGTGTAAATACAGTTAGAAAGGTTTGGGTTATTTTTAAACAGATGATCTGTGTGCTTATTCATACTTGTCAAGATAGTTTTTGTCCCTGTAAACAAGCATTATCTGAATGGATTGCTCAGTCGTTTATGCCATCATTTGAATCTGTAAGCTTCTCTTTGTACCACACTAAACCAGGTGCACAACCACAGTACTTTGTTTATTGGATATTGTTCCTGAATTTTGAAGCCATTTTTTTTCTTTGAAAAGACTGAAATCAATGAAATAATTTCTCTGATGTACCTTCAAGATATCCTTCTGTTTGAAGGAATTAAAGTACATTCAACTGTCACTTGATGTTACCATTTCCAAGAGTCTTTTTCAAAAGAATCAGTTACTAGTCCCACACTCAGCATCATCTTTCACTGATCAGGCTGATAGTGACTGCTTCTTTAAAGATACCAGATGCCCAGTGTGATAAGAGTGACGGGAGGTCACAAGTGATTTGAACACGATGCTTGCTTCCTCTGGGGATCAGATTAATGCTTAATCTCTTGCTCTCCCGCTGCTGCATTAAAAATGGAAACTTCTAAGACTTTTTATCATCACCTTCTCTGAGTGAATGTACTCTGGTGGAGGGAGCCCTGTAAGACCTAACTCCTGCTCCCCTGGGTCCTCAGCTAGTGGGGCTCCTTTGTTCCCCAAGCTCACAGGGGGATGGAGGGAGGAGTGGGTGGGTTTCTGCAGCACCCGACATGGGCTGTAGCAGGAGTATTTCCTGGCCAGGAAGGAGTGTAAAATGGGAGACTTGGCAAAGGGCTTCGGGAAGTGAGGGTATCCTTTCCCAGTGCTTCCGCCTTTTAATGCTTGCCAAATGCAATTCATCTACAAGCTGGTGCCGCAACCTCTGGATGGGTTGGTGGAAGGCAGGGCTCCCCTGCCTCACCTGGGGGGCACAAGACCTGAAGGAAAGAGGGGGAAGCCCTCGCGTGAACCCCAAGAGCAGCAAAATGGCCTCTGTGGCCACGACCCCAAACCTCTCAGTGCAAGACAAATACAACCCGAATCCTGGCTGCTGGGACAAGCCCAGTCTGCTGGAGGGATGGTCCTGTCCCTGTCCTGAGCTTCAATCCACACCTACCAGCTTTTACTTTCCCCTTTCCAGTACTTTCAATGAATATGCAGTCTAATAATAATAATTCCTTAAATACTAAACAGAGCCTAGGCCATGTTACAAATAGCAATAGGTTCCAGAGGGTTTATATTAATCTAATGCACTTGCTTTATTAACAACAAGAGCATGATCAAAGGTTTTATAGAAGTTTAAGGCTTTATTAATTCAACTCAGTCAAGATAGATTTAAATTTCTGCCGATTTCCTAATTATTCACTTGCAGATCATTTACAAAACACTTATGCTAGAAAAAACCATTCTAATTAAATAAAAGGAAACCATTTCTGTTTATTAATATCTTTCTAAACTTGACTGTGGGAATGCTGTAACCTCCAGATGCCTTCTGACTCAAAGCTGTGCATTGTTCCAGGACCCAAACCAAGCATTTTAGTGCAATAATAACATTACGTAAAACTGCTGAGGAGGGATCTTACAAGTGGTGGTCTTCACCACCTGAAAGCAATAAGTATTTGTGATGTGTTTTAAGCATTATGACACACTGTAAATCAGTTCTGCAAGACAACATAGTGGGGTTTTCACTTGTGATAGCTGGGGGGTTACTGCCGGCCTTGCCAATGGATTTGGGTTCTTTTTTCACTCTAGTCTTCAACTGAAACACCACATACTACACGTAAAGGGGCAGTTAGGCAAAAACCAGCAGTGGCAGCAGGGAATGCCCCTGTTCCAGGGGAGCATCCTATCTAGAGAAGAGCTGCAGTTTGCTTGCTCCTCTACCAACAGACACCAGTTACGAGTCAATGTGGAGAACTCAAATTGGAAACCACCCGATATCCTCAGTACAGCACAGCAAGCTGGGCCCAGCCACAGGCATTTTTCCTCACAGCACCCAGAGGTGTCTACAAGTGATCAAAACCCGATACCTGGATAAGGATATCTGCCACTGTGTATGTCCCTGTACTGCCCCTCCATCGCGAACCCACTATTTCTATACCTACACAGAACACTGACCCCCTAAAACCTCTCCTTCCCCAGCAGCGCAACGCGGAGGGGTTGCTGTCCACGCCAGGCAGCGGGAGGTACCTCAGTCTCCTCAGCGTCCGGCCTGTCGCGCCTCTCTCCTTCCCGCCGCCATCCCGCGCCAGGTCCCGGCTGCGCATTTCCCCTCAGGGCGGGCGCAGGCCGCGGGACGACCTCCTGCCAGGGAGGCGTGTGGGGAACGGAGGCTCCCGGCTCCCTGCGGGCCGGCCGCGGGCAAGCTCTCCCGGGCCCGCACCCCGCGAGAGGGCGCTGGCCGGCGGCGCGCCGCTCCCCGGGAAGGCCGGAGTTTGAAAAGTGCCGGTTGCCGGCGGTGCCGCACGGAGCAATGGCGGCGGGGACCCCGCAGGTGAGCGCCGCGCTGAGGGCAAGGAGGGGCGACTCATGGCGGGTGGGCTGAGGGGAGGGGGTTTCCCCATCCTGGGCGGTCGCCTCCATACTTCTGGGGTCCTCCCTACCTTTCGGGGGTCTCCTCCATCTTTCCTGCCCCGCCGGAAGCCCCCCGGCCCCGGGCAGACAGGGAGGGAGCGGGCTTCCCGCTGTCTCCTCAGCCGGTCGCGGTGGCCGCGCTCTGGAGAAGAGGGAGAGGCCTTGGGGGGCGGGTGGGATCCCCTAAAAATGTCCCTCACCGCCTCAGGGGAGTGGGGCTCGGGCCAGGTTGGTGCCCGCTGGGGGAATCCCTGTCTCGGCATCGAGGAGGGGTGGGTCAGCGGGGCGCTGCCGGGGCTGGGAGGGCCGCCAGCCTCCGTGCTCCGAAAAACATCCAGTTCTGGAATAAACTCGGTGCCCTCTTCCCTTGAGGCGTTTCCAGCCTAATCTGGGAAAGATGGGATGGAGAGAGCGGCATAAAAGACGCGGTTCTCCCTGGCTCGGAGCTCTCCACCCTTGCACAGACTGGAGTTGGGAAGGGAGCTGAATGGCTCCAGACAGGATTGCAAGTGGCTTTTTACGATGCTTGCAGTGTCTTTTTTCTTGTAAAGAGTGAATGTGGCTAGCATGTGTGTGCCGACACAGGCCTTTTCCCTACAGCACAAAGTTGCCCTGAAGGATGTGATTTTCAATGCCCTGGTGAACACATGTGAGCTTTCTCATTTGAATAGTTTCTGGGTAGTTGATCAGCTCATTTAATCAAACTGTAAATCGATTTCTGTGTTAGTGGTGAAACTGTAAGAGCCAGGTCTGCCCTGGGCTTTGTGCAGGTGAAGCTTATTGCCAAACTGGGCATAACCAGTAAGGGGATGGGATCTTCCCAGGCTGCAATCCCAAGGACTAAGTGCAGCTTTGATACTGCTGATATTTCTGCCAGTTAGGAAGCAGTGTAGACACTTCAGTGCAAGGAGCCTAGTGGAAGCCCTGGGTGAGTTGTGGCAGCCCTACTACAAGTACCAAAAACGAGTTTATTTAAGCCTGCTTGGGTACTTCTCTGCAAGTTGTAAATGCATTTTGGGATTGTGTTGGAGGCTTATCCTGAAGGACTGAGCTTTGTGGGGAGCCCAGGAACAGCTGCAGCATGGGCTGGGGCGGTCTCCCAATACCCCACTGAAATTCCTGAGTCAGAATGCAAAATGGATCAATCCAAATGCAAATTCACCTTTTCCATCCTCCTCAAAAAGTCCCTACCCATGGCAGGGGGGTTGGAACTAGATGATGAGCTTAAGGTAATTTGCAAGCCAAACCATTCCATGATTTTATGAAAACATACCATGTTTAAATTCTAAATATATTTAGAAAAACCAGCATGGTGCATTAGCCAGTATTCATACTAGCTTCTGGCAGAGAGTGATGTGGAGGACAATTGACCCCAAAACTGCCCAGACTATACCTGTTCTCTGAATCAATACACAGGTCTCTGTATTCAGCTCCCTTCATTGGTATTACACTTGCACCACTACTCATTCCCTTGCTCTGAGCAGACCCAGGGGGTGGATTGCTTACACCCATTTGCATAGTTTGGATAGAAAAGAGATCTCTATGTTTTTTCTAATGGTTTAAATGAGAATTGCAGTCGAACAGACTCCTTTTAGTCACTTGCTACAGAGTGGATAAAGAGCTTACTGATTTTTCAACCTTGAGCTGGTAAAGGCTGCCTGTGACTCAGGAACTCCATGATTCAAGTTCTTCCTCACAAAACTTTGGATGTTTATCAAAGCTCTGGCTTATAGTTCCTGGCTTTACTAATTGGGCGAGAACTTCCTGGAATCAGGATGTTAATCTGAGCCTTTTTGTTACCAATCCCAACAACTCCTGTTTTGGCTATTGTGTATCTCCTGCAGACCCAACTTGATTCTAAGCCAGCTTTAAAATAGATGTTGATTTTTTCCTTCTTCTTTAACTATTTTGGTGTTAGACTGAAATAAGCAAAAACTGATGGAGGATGTTTGGTTGGGTCTTTGATTAAATAATTGTTTCTGTGTGAGTGGTTTAAGCTTTGAATGCACAGCACACTCCTAAAGTGCAGTATTGTTACCTAAGTAACACAAAACCAGTGTGGTTTATTGTTGCAAATGTGGTCAACCGACTGAGGAGTCTGAAAGCAAGTTGGGATTCCTGAGTTCTGTCTTCAGTCACTGACGTGCTGTGTGGCATCAGTAGTACAGCTTGACAACCATTGCTTTTGCGTTTAAGCAGGTAGTATGCTGAATCATTAACGTCAGGTTATTAATATATGTATTGCTTTGAATGCCGTAAAGGCACTCTTCGTGTTGAAGAGAGAAACAATGTCTTGCTTGGATCTGTTACAGTTTTAAGTAGTATCCTCATGGATAAAGCTTTCACAGCTCGGGTCTGAGTTCAGTGTTTATGTGGTCAGTGAGATGCACCTCTGCTGCGACTGTCTGTGCTGTGTATGTCCAGAGCCTGGAGACAGAGCATCTCCATCCAGAGCTGATGGTATATCACTAGAACAAGCAGTGTTGAAAATAATGTAGAACAAGCTTGAATGCTACTAATGCAAATCAAAAATAGTCCGTGTTTCTAAGTGGCTTTACCACCTGTAAATCACAGAGTAGAGACTGAGACAACAATTGGCTCACCTTTGCAGAGACAGCAGAAAGTTAAGCTACTCTGTTGCTTGTTCATTTGTTGAAACATCTGTAGGCTTTACATTTTATTTCTTCATGTGTAACAGCCAAGAGTTAATGCATGCTTGTGACATGCCTAGAAAGTTCTAATGGGTTAGTTGGGGTGTGTCTTTGAGCAGTCAGCATCAAGACACATCCATGTAAAAATCTGTATCTATTACATCATACTAGTAAAAGTGAATGGTGATCAGAACAAGAGCAAGTATTGTCTGGGCTTTGATATTTGAAGAGCAAAGATGTGTGTGGACGTTAGATAACAAGGAGACAATGTGAAGGTTTTTCTCCAGTATGGTTTAAAATGAAATTAAGGCATGTTAAGATCAAAGTTGTGTTCTGTCCTCTGCAATTTAAATGTAGGTCTGGTCTTGTTGGAAATTTGCTGAAAAGTTTGGCTTAAGAATTTGTTTGAACCAGTTTCTAAATGAAATGAAGGAGTGGAATGTTATGAGGGTATTGCTATACCATAAAAATGGTTGAACTGTGTTATCTCTGAAATACTATTGGCTTGATTACAGGGCAGCTGTCTCTTGCAGCTGAGCAATGGTGTGAACTTAATGGATCCAGGCTTTCAGCAAAAACTGGAGGGTGAGAAGGAATTGCTTCGCCGTGCTATACAGAAAGAACTGAAGATTAAAGAGGGAGCAGAAAACCTGCGCAAAGCGACAACAGACAGAAAGAATCTTGTTCATATAGAGCATGTGCTGAAATCTTCCAACCGAAAACTGGAGCAACTGCATTGGGAACTTCAGGAGCTTAATGCAAGGATTGTAATAACAGACAAAGAGGAGAATAAGACAGGTAGGGCTTGGGTTATGATTGACAGGAAAATTCTCTTATAGTGCTTCATATTTATATATATTGAATTGATGTATTTTTCTGTTGAGGGCTCAGAAGTAGTAAGAGTTTCTTCTGTTGGTATTTAGCTGATGAAATTATTTGTGCAGTAAAAAGTTGAGTATGGGGCAATAAAAGTGAAAGAAAGCAACATGAGAGATTGATGCAGGGAGAAGACCAGCTGAGTGCTGGATACAGGTAATTTTCAGGCATAGGCTGCAGGTGGAATTAAAGAGATTTGAACAGTTTCTGGGCAGTTGATCAGCCAAGTATCTGACAGGATGAGTGAGTATAAAAGGTTCAAAGAGTGCTTGTTAGAATGGGTTCATTGATAAACTAAGAAATATTGATTTTCATTTGAAAGAGTGTTTTGCAGTCAGTTTTGTAGACAAGACCTTTTTGTACTTCCTTTTATAGACTAACCTTATTTTATAGAGTCACCCATCAATAACCAGTGAAATGACACAAGATAAGATAACTAATGGTATTGATTGTATTGTTTATACAGATGGATCGGTGTCTCCAGATCCTTGTCTCTGGGAAAGAAACCCAGACCCCATGGCAAGGAAGGTTGAAGCTCTGAAAAAGCAGCTACATGTTGAAATGAAAGTGAAACAAGGAGCTGAAAACATGATCCAAATGTATTCAACATCGAAGGTAAACAGGAATAAGCAACCATTTTTTGAGAATATGGATTTTTGGATTAAAATGTGTGTTTAAAATCCATACATAAAAACTCTCTCTGATAATTGGTGTGTGGAAGAAATTAATTTGTAAAGCTTGTTTGGCTAAATCCTATCTCTGTGTTTTGGTTCTCAGCATAGTGACTGCATGTCACATTACAGCACAGGACAAGCAATACTGTAACTGTGCATTAGGCTTCCTGCAACATGACACAGATTTCAAGAATTTAGCAGGAATTAAAAAGGGAGTGAATGATGCATGTTTCATTTGCCAAGGACTTGATCCAACCTATAATTACTGGATGTTTGAGTTTGATATAACTCTATTTAAAAGACAAATTAAAATATTTAAAAGACACATTAAAAAAAAAATAAATTCCAAACTTATTATGAAGCTTAATTTATCCAGACCAGCAGTGTAGAGGGTGTGATACTCTTATTTGTTAAAAACCTCTGTTCACAAAACAGTATAAGCACAGTTAACCAGTGAATCACCAGTCTCAGTGACTGCAAGATTTGGTATTATAACTGGTCATCACCTTGACCTGTCCTTTCCCTCTAAAAATGGAGATAACAGTCTCAAAGTCCTTGATCCTCAGAGGTGTCTCCTTTACATAACTGCTTATGTATGCTATTTCAGAATCATTTATGACCCTTCTTGCAGGTACCACCTCATCTTCATATGTGAACACCTCACTGCAATCCATTCTTAATGAGCAGGTTCCCTCTCTGCCTATGCTTTCTTTTTTGGCAGGAGCGGAAGCTGCTGGCTACAGCTCAGCAGATGCTTCAGGACAGCAAGACAAAGATTGAGATAATCCGCATGCACATTGGGAAAGTATCTCAGTCAGCAGGAGGGATGGAAGATCCAGCGGATCCAGCAGGTAGGGTGTTTTAAGTAACTGATAACAGCCCAGAACAGATGCAGCCAAAACCTTAAGATCCCCAGTGCTCAGTCAGTTCTCATCCTTGCCATATTTTATCTCCCAAATGGCCAGTGAAGATGGGGAGCACCATCAGTGCTTTGGAGCTGCGCGTTGAGGAGCTGCGACATCACCTGCGCATTGAAGCTGCTGTAGCTGAGGGGGCCAAAAATGTGCTGAAGATCCTGGGAGGAAGTCGGGTACAGGACCGCAAGTTCTTGGCTGAAGTAAGCACTTATTCAGTCTTTCTTGAGAGGGTGGTTTCATGATGCTTCAACATCAGTGATTTAGTATGAATGAGTAGAGTTAACCAAGAGTTATTAATCTGGTATTTCCTGTCTCTCTGAGAACAAACTGGGATCACTTTCCCTTCTAGGAATAACATTCCTTCAGAAGTGACACTGATGGGGGTGATCAGGATCTGTGGGAAAATATTTAGTCTTTTTCCTTTATTAGTAAGGTGTTATCTGGTCTGGGTTGGAAGCTTGCTTCAGTAGTTCAGAAAGGATTAAAGTACCTGGACTGGGGCTGTACGACGCATGTTTTCTGTTCTACTTCATATTGCCAGGCTCAGGGTCGTTTGCAAGAGTCCTCTCAGAAGATTGACCTGCTGCGCTTGTCCTTGGAACGTCAGCTTAGTGAGCTTTCTCCTGATCATCCAAAAAGAGCACTCATCAAGCAGGAGCTAGTAAATACTTCCTCCCTGGGAGCTCAACATGGCAGCATCCAACCAACTTCAGTTGTCAAACCTACAGCCCTTACAGGTACATGAGTCCTGCATGGCATGTTGTTTGTGAGGAGGATAGGGTGGAAAAATTAATTGCATTTATTTTCATTATTGTACTGCCTTTTGCTACATGGGGATTTGGTTTTCTAGGGACTGGAATTATGTCTTCTAGGCCAGGCAGAGCTTTTTAATCATATGGATTTGCAGTCCCTTAATCTGGGGTAGATTTGAGCTATTAACCAAGAAATCATGAATCTGAGAAATTTTCAGACCCTTGTGAGCACAAGGCTGACTGGACTCACTTTTTTTACATTACACAGAAATTGGATGAATGTGAGGATTTAATAATAATAATATTCTTTACTCTCCTAAAATTCCTCAGGAACATTGGAAGTGAGACTAATGGGGTGTCAGGATCTATTGGAAAACGTTCCAGGACGTTCCCGAATGACTAGTTCTTCTCCAATCTGTGGCAGCCCAAGTGATTTGAGATCCCTTTCCCGAACACGAGTTGGCCTGGGTATCCATGGCCGCAGTGTTACAGGGAAGTACCTGCGAAATGAAGAGCCATGTAGTGAGTATGGGGTTCCCTCTTGAACTGAGTGGCATATTGGGTCTTGTCATCATGGTATTGGTTAGCCTCGTGTGAGTGTAATTACAAGATATCTGTTTTCTGCAAAGCTAAGAGTTAATTGCATTGTACCTGGTCCTCCCTCTACTCTTCTAGAAATTACAGTTGTTTGGGATATTTGCCTTCAGCATAGGAAATTCTCTGTGGTAAAATATTATAATCCATGTTTTCTCCTTTGTTTAGATGAGGTCCTTGCTGTTCTCAAAGTGGACAATAAAGTGGTTGGCCAAACAAACTGGGGACCAGTTAATAACCAGGCATGGGACCAGAGCTTTGTCATTGAACTGGACCGGGTAAGTCTGCCTAGATTCCTTGTAGTGTTTGTTTTTCCATTTCTCCTTACCTGATTTGCTTGTTTAGCTGCCATTCCAGTTGAGTGAACTCTGCATTGCTGCTGTCCCCTTGTCCTTTTCTGTGCCAGTTATCTTAGCCTTCCCCTGAAGGCAGTGCGTCTCTGGCAGAGGTTCAGCCTGAACAGCATCTGTTGTCCTTCTCTCCTTATCTGAGCAGTTTTATTTCCCTTATCAGCAAAGTGGCTCTCACAGGGATTTCTGAAATTGGAAGCCAAGACAGCCATCTTCAGAGGGTCTATAATTAAGATGTGAAAACAACAGAGAAAGTGGGAAACAAGTATTAAAGAAGATTCTTATGCATACTGTTTAGTTTACTGATTTTATTTCTTCTATTTACTTTAACAGCAGCATGTGTGTGCCATTGCCAGAGCATGGGGTAGTATGTAACTCTCTCCTGCCTTTTTTTTTCTCTCCCTTACCACTCACCCATCCCACCAGTCTCGTGAGCTAGAAATTGCCATTTACTGGAGAGACTGGAGAGAACTTTGTGCAGTGAAGTTTTTACGTTTGGATGATTTTCTGGATAATGAACGTCACGGGATGTGCCTCCCACTGGAACCCCAAGGAATGCTCTTTGCAGAGGTATAAGCTTTGTTTCTTTTTAAGAGAACTCTGCTTAGGATGCTTGCCCTCAAAGCAGTTGTTCAACCCAGGATACAAGGGATGGAAGGAGCAATAATCTAGAAGGGTAGAATGACACCTGAAATCCTTTTCTGTGTAAGAATAAGGAGCAATATGATATAATAGATGTGCATATGCCATAGCCTGGAGTGACTCCTCAACTGCTCCACTGTAATTATATGTGTGTGTGCTGTGTAATCTGTTGGGTTTTATTTGCTTTCAGTGTGAGTCATTGGTGACACTTTAATTAAACATACGGCTTAATGGTCAGAATTGAATCAGAGAGACTGTAGAATCAGAGATGCACATTCCCTCTGGGTATGCTTATTTTATCATCTTTCTGAGGTTAATAGTTTCAAGTACCATCAATGAAGAGATTATGCAGCTAATCCCGTAAAAGCCACAGTACTTTCTACTTTGTGTTGTGATGAAAGTTCCTGTGGTTATCTCTCCAAAAGCAGGATCTTGACCTCATGTACCAAAGAAGGCAAGAGAGGAGGCAAATTTGGGTTTTGTGATTTTGTGGGGGCTGGTTTTGGTGTTTTGGTTTTTACTTCTCTGCCATGGACTAATACTTTTTTTTTACCCTACAAATGGATGTGTTCTTTATGCATGGCTTTACAAATTAGATTAATGATGTTTGGGATATGAATTTTTCTGGTTTTTTTTCTGCTTTCAGGTAGCAGAAAATTCCAACGTCTAAAACTGTTGCTAAAGTAATGGATGCTTAGAGGGTGAAGCTAGAATAACACAGTCTGGAGTGTATGTAATTTGACTCCTACTTATCAAACAGATACGAATGGAGAATTTGATGAGAGGGCAGGCACGTGTGAAGGTCTGTGTTCACAGTGTAAATGAAAAATCCTGACAAATCCCCATTGCTTCTCTGCCAGGTGATGTTCTGTAATCCTGTCATTGAGAGAAAGCCAAAACTGCAGCGACAGAAACGCATCTTCCCCAAACAGAAAGGTAAGCTGCTGGAGAGCTGATGGCTTGCTATGTAGGGTGTGTAGATGAGGGCAGGGGTTTGCACAAGCAGGCTGGTGTACCCTCCTATCCCACCGAGTTTGTAAGACACTGGAATGCTTGCTAATTCCTGCGTCTAAGTAGGTGGGCCTATTAGAATGGCAAAGTTTGTTCAATCACAAAACATGTAGGCAGCCTGGCTATGTAATGTGATAATTGTTGTGATGTTTCTACTCATAATTAACGTTTTGAGGAAGATATAATTACTAGTTACTTAACAGCCTCCTTAGCAAGATCAGAGACTCAAGCTGTGCTAATTTAACCAGTAATGCTGTTACTGATGAACAGAGTTTGGAAGGTTTTCAGGAAAACTCTGAATTATAGAAGACTGTGTCATGAACAGGCTACTGATTGTCAAGTCTTTAGAGCTGACATCTCAGATTATTAGTTTAGAGACTGGAATAACTTGCATACTTTCTTCTTTGTCTGCAAATTCTTTCTTGTGAAGCTGAATAAGGTAAGACTTTACATACTGAGAACTCCTGGCAGTGGGGATAAATGAGATATTATATTATTCAGGAAGTAGTAAAAATAACAAAAACATTCCAAATGTTTTATTCTTTTCAAGGCATTTTCAGAAACTTTCTGTTAGCAAGCTGCCTGATTAAAATACAGTGTTGAAATAGAAGAAAACCTGACTTAAAATAAGGTTTTTAATGTTTCATGCAGTTTCTACTTGAGGATTGTTATGATATTCTATGGAACTGAACTTAAGTGAAACAGTAGATCTGTATCATCATCATTACTAATATTTCTGTCGGGGGGAAAAAAGCCCATTTTCCCCGAGGTGGGATCCCTTTTTGAATAACCCACGGGTGTTTGGGTGAAAACAATAATTTAACAGTACATGAGATTGTAATTTATGTGTTGTTAAATCACTGGTGTTTTGACTCTGACTCCTCCAGGGAAAGAATTTCTCCGAGCTCCTCAAATGAACATAAATGTTGCTGCTTGGGGTCGCCTGATGATGAGTTTCCTCCCTCCGTGTAGTTCCATGGGCACTCTGAGTCCCCCACTCCATGATCCCATTCACACAGACTTTTCTCCAGTTCCCCCACAAAGTCATGTTGATCCAGTGTCCAAATTAAGTAGGTAAGTCATGTTCTGAGTGTTGCTGGATGACACTCTGGAACAAGTGTAGGATAGATCTTAAAATTTGGTTGCACCTTACTAAGGTGGGGGAAGATATTGATCAGAAAAATGTATCTGAGGATTTAACTCAGGATTTTAAGTGCTGCCTGAAATTATGTAATTTTAGTGGGGTGTTCAGTACATCGTGGGTAGCTCTGACTTATTGTTAGCACTTGGTCTGGTTTCCAGAATTGCTCACCTAACAAGCAGTGTGTTCCAGAGCCAGTAGGACTTCAGCAGCTTTCTTTTCCTCTGCAGTGAGATCTGTGGGCAAGTGGTGATAAGTAACCACTGTGATGCTACAAAATAAAACACCCCAAAACAAACACAAAAAACCCAACAAAACAAAAGCAACAGAAAAAAAAAACAAAAAACAAAAGGGGGAAGAAAACCCCAAAACCCAAACCTAACCAAAAGCAGATTTCAAGAGTTACTTTATATACAAAGAAAGGTGTATTGGTTTTGTGCTGTAAAGGAAAGAAATTCCACATATAAAGTATCTTTACCAGTATAGTAACTGAACTCCAGGCAAGGTCACAATGTGATTGTTGTAGTAAAAATGCACTCTTCCTTCGTGAGGCTAAGTGTACCCCAACCACTAGCATAAGGGAGCACTCAGAAGGTACATCGCATAGAAGGTACATCGTATCTAAAAGACACTATTCCTGCTGATTCACAAGACATAGAAAAACTAAAAAGAAAAAAAATCAGCTACTGTGTTGCTGTTAAAATCAAGGCTTCCTTTAAATTCTTGATAACAGTGACTTATTTCTACGTACCTCTGTTTAATTGATTTTTATAGCATCAGAGAGCTGTTGTTGGATGCGAGTTTAACTATCACCAACTTAATAGCTTCTTTTCATTTATTTAGGAGAGCATAACTCTTGATACCTCACAGACTTGTGATGTGAATCAGGGAGTCCCATTGTCTAGTGTGTTGGGCTGAATTAATATACAAAAGATGTGCCTGTACGATGTTCTGTTCTAAGGCAATCTCTTTCTATTTTGTCTTACAAATGCAGTGACTTTCCTGCAGCTAAGCTCACTTTTGCTGATGAAGCTCCACCCAAGCCTCCACGTCTGTTCCAGATGGCCAACTCCAAAGAATCAACCCCATCTCCTGCAGATTCTCCGGTAATCGTTAGGGCTAACAGGGAGACCTTCTATTGGTTGTTATTCTTTCAAGGCCCAGTTCTTGTTTGTTTCTTACTGGAGAAATCAACTATAGACAGGCATCTCCTCATTAGCTGGCTGATCTCCAGGGATTCAGAAGCCGGTGAGCTGTTTTGGCATGGAATCTTTACAAAAATTAAATTGGGAGTTCGGGGCAAGAGTGCAGAGAGAAGGTGGGGAAGGAAGGTAGGCAGGCTTTTAGGACAAGATGAAGTTCTTTGTTGTTAAAGAAACTGGGCAAACCCAAGAAGAGCTCTATTTTTCTGACATTTTCTGACAGGAAGGAGCAGGAAAATTGTTTTGAGTAGTATAATGGTTAATGACCTGTGTTCTACCACATCTTACCCTTTCTTATTTGCCTTTGGTGATAGAGGAAGCTGCATTCTTTGATCACTGTGACTCTTCCTGGGACAGGAAGTGTCTTTTTTTCCTAGAAAGGAAATGTTTTATCCCAGACTTACAAAAGCATTTACTTGAAAGGGTTTGAGCCTATAAAAAAAAAAAATCATACATGTTACGTGAGACTATAGACAATCTGTTTTCATGCTGCTTCCCTCCGAGCAGAGGGGATGACCAACTGTGAGAACTTGTCTGTGGTTATGCTGATTCATGACAGAGGAGACAACTTGGATGTGGATGTTCAGGTCTGACTTGATGATTCCAGATTCTGTCCTTTTCTTTCTGTTCCTAGCGTCTGAAGAGGCTGCATGTTGAAGAGAAGTCCTGCAGCTCTGCTGTAACAGTCCCAGCATCTCCAAGGTAACTGTGGACAGCATGGGCTGTCTTGGGTCACAGATTAAAGAGCTACTGGGCTGAAATGTTTGAGCATGCAGTCTAAAATTCAGCTCAAGGTCTGCTTTGGTTTCTCAGCAGCAGCCTCTTAGTGCTGAGTGTAGACAGTACCATGAAAAGTCTGCTCTGAACTTGTCCAAATGTGACTTATCTGCTTTTTAACCCCAGCACTTAGCCTAGTGATAGACTCTACACTACATTGTAATAGATTATTTGAGTAGAAGGTAAAGTCACTTACCTCTCTTCAAGTGCTTCCTTCTTTGAAGTTTTATGGTGTGGTATATTTAAATGTGTCTGTGTTCTAAGTAATAAATTTCAGAACCACTTTTGCTATCTCTCACACTTCTGTTTCTGTTGATATGCAAGATACACAGTATTTCGTTACATAGGGAGGCATAAACCAGTAAGTTGTTTATGGTCTGTGGCAGCTATATATGCACAATTTGTATGTAACAACAACACACAGCAGTAAATATACCAAAACCAGGACAAGTAAAAATAATTATTATTGTTGAACAAATACTGACAAAAAAAAGCATGAATAGCAAAATCTATCAAAGCTGATCTTACGGTTCAGATCATAGAATTATCTTCATAATTTCATTATCACTTTTGAGGGGTCCCATCTTCAAAACTATGTCAGGCACCTGCCTACTTTCCCTCTGAGAAGGCTCAGGAGGGATTTGAGTCCTTCATGGGTAGATACTTTGCTCTTTGTTTCACTGACTGGAGGTGTCCTGGAGTATCTGCTGCCATTTAAAGGATGATCCTGGACTCGGGTGTTTAGGATGTGGGTTGTTTGTTGGGGATTTTTTTATTATTATTTCCAAGCAGTTCTGCAGACTGAGTTTCCCTGGTAACACCTTGTGGCTGACACAGCATCTCTTTATTCAGCTATGTTTTTTCCACCAACATCTTATGTCTTTTGTCTCACCATGTTTCATTTCCAGTTCTTGAGAGAGAACTTCTTTTCTTATGCCCTTATCCTACCAGCACTTGATATACATGCTCATGTCTGATTAACACAATTGATGTTGAGCCTGCTGAAAGAAGTGAAGGCAAAATTGAATTTTACTCCCTCAAGGATGGGGGTGGAGGGGAACTAATCCTGTTATGGAAAGTTACGGAGAAAGCAAGCTTTGGAGAGTCGGAATTGTTGCTCCTGTTGCCAGCAGAGGTTCAAGTCAGACTGCTGCCACTGAGAGCAGTTTCCTTTTGGTTGCCTGCTACTTTTTTCAGTGGCAGAACAGCAGCAAGCCTAAGTTTTCAGGATTTCATCTTAGACAAGGAGTGGTTGACACAGCTGTTTGCTTTCCGTTTTGCTATATAGAGCTTCTTCACCTAACAGAAATATGTACTCTTTAGTTATCTGCTTGTGCATGTTTTGGGTATTGTCTCAGCAATCCTGTGTTTGTCTGCAGGAAAAGGACAGTTCAGCTTGAGGATTTTCACTGCATTGCTATGTTGGGACGTGGTCACTTTGGGAAGGTAATACAGAAGTGTACGCTTTCTGAAAGAGGGCAGAGGGACTGTGGCTTTGAGGATTGGCCTTTGCCTCAGAGTCCAAATAGAAACGTTGCAGTACAGAAGAGATTTGTTGTAACACAGATGTACAAAACAAACCCAGCCCAACCACACAAGCAGCAGATAAGTTGTTAACAGTCAAAATTCCTGAAGATTTGTGGCTTCAAAGCCTGAAGAAAACTATCCTGAGAGTCATTTCATAAAGCACACCATTACCATTCCTTTCTTTTTCATGGTGGTCACTAATGGAATAGCTCCATTCCCAAAATCTGTATGCATAGTTCCTTGCTGTGAGAGCTCTGAGGTGCTCATGAAGCACTGCACCAGCTGTGATACTACTGTTTGTGGAAAGAATATAACTTACACCAACATCCTTCTAGACTGTTTCAGTACAAGGAGCAGGAAAAAAGCACTAAATTTTTGGAGTTACTTGATCTTGGCGTTGAGAATGACTCCCATTGACACAAATTATTTCTATCCACTCCAGTCAAAGTAATCCAATAAGAAAATAACAGATTTGTTTGAAGTAGAGCTTTTCTGTTGTCTTTCAGGTACTGCTGGCTCAATACAAGTCAACTGGGAAGCTGTATGCTATCAAAGCCCTGAAGAAAAAAGATATTATTAGGAGAGATGAAATTGATAGGTGAGCTTGGTTTAGAGATGGTACTATTGCCAGAGGGTACATTTACACACCTGTAATCAAATGTTAGTAGGTTTTATGTGTACTGGTCATGGCACTGTTAAAGTTAAATATGACCTTAGGGCTTGAGTAAGTAAAATCACGAGTAAGGAAACTTACAACAGTGCTGCTTTCTGCCTTCTGGTGGAATAACACCTGAAGAACATTGTAAGACTGAAGATTTGGAAGGATGTAAGATAAATGTCATATTAGCCCTCGCTTTTTATTTCTCTAACTTAAACTGTAACGATTTTCTTCTTCATCCTGTCTTTCTCAGAACAGGCTTTTCTGCCAGGTTTTAACACTGATGTTTTCTTTCTTTGAATCCCGGCAGCTTGAACTGTGAGAAACGAATATTTGAAGTGGTCAATTCTTCTGGTCATCCATTCCTGGTGAACATGTTTGCATGTTTCCAGACACCTCATCATGCTTGTTTCGTGATGGAATATACTCCAGGTGGTGATCTTATGATGCGCATCCATGAAGACGTCTTTCCAGAGCATGTGGCACAGTGAGTTAGAATTAGTCTAGTTTCCAGGCACTAAACATTTTGAACTTGATTCTCATATATATTTCCTGATAACTGTTTCTCTCTTTTAGGTTTTACACAGCCTGCGTAGTCTTGGGGCTCCAGTTCTTGCATGCGAAGAAAATTGTTTATAGGTAAAGAAGCAAAAATTCACAAATAAGACAGTCCAGCAACTTGAAGGTTGATTTTTCCTGTCTGGAGCTCACTATCTTGCTAGGGTCTCTGATCTTTCTGCTTGTCTTTATTTTCCCCATCACCTGCTGCTATCAGCATGTTCATCGTGTTTAAAGTAAAGAAAGTCATCTAGAAGCTATTCATCTGACATGTTGCAGGTGATTAGTCCTCTCTGACATGGCAATACATTCTGGGGGGCACCTGTATGTCACTGCTTTCTTTTTTACTATCATAGTCAAGTAATGTGTCATGCTGTTGTGGGGTGCTCTTTTCCAGATGAATAAGCCCCACTCAGCTCCAAGCTGCTTTGTGAGCCTTTCATTAAGAGGAAAACATCAATAACTTAAGGGAAATCTTTGAAATAATACATGATTTCAAACAAATGCAGACTTTGCTCAATTTAAATTTGATTTTATTAACATCTAGCTTCCGCCTCTTGTGCAAAAAAATATGTTGGATGGCAAAAAAATATGTAGGACTTCATTCACCATTTTCTTTCCTCTCCTTTACCTTCAGGGACCTGAAATTGGATAATCTGCTTTTAGATGCTGAAGGATTCGTGAAGATTGCAGATTTTGGATTGTGTAAGGAAGGTGAGTGACTTTGGTGAAGCTTAAATTGAACCATCAGAACCAGTTTAGGGTCTGAGCTTCAGTAATTTGTTTTCAAATACAGATACTGAGGTGGTCCTGTGTAACTTGCATTGATCCCCATCTTTAAAACAAAATAAAACCCACCAAGACCAAAAACCCCAACAAACCAAACAACAAAACACCGTCACCCGTCTGGACATGATGAACTTGGAAAGAGAAATTTGTCCTTTCATCTTCAGGAAGCTTACAAAGGAGTTTACAATGTGTTTGCTTGTTCAAAGGAGCCAGAATATAGGATGCTACAAAATGTGTACTTGAGTAAATGAGCAATGGAATCTGCAGGGAATTGCCTTGTTTATTCTGTTTCTTTAAGCATTGTCTGTATATTTCTTATTTGGAGTTGTCAAGGGCCTCAGGTTTCATACCTGCTATTGCTGTTTACAGACATTAAAGAGAACCCTCGCCTGGTTAACAACATTAGATTACCAGTGATAAGCTGTGGCTTCCAGAAAGTGAGGCTCCATGTGGTCCCTTTAGTAACGTGTGCTGGGTTTTACAAGTGTTCTTTTCCTACAGGAATAGGTTTTGGAGATCGCACAAACACCTTCTGTGGCACCCCTGAATTTCTGGCTCCAGAAGTCCTGACGGACATCTCATACACTCGGGCAGTAGACTGGTGGGGATTGGGTGTGCTCATTTATGAGATGCTTGTTGGCGAGGTAAGACCTTTCTTTAAGAGGACTTCCCTAAACAGGCTTGTGGCAATAGCACCCAACCACGTAAGATAACACTTTGCTGAATGCAGTCAACTGTTAGTACTTAAATTACATTTTACTCATTCATAGTGCTTGCCAAACACTAATTCATACAGTTGTATGCTATTCTCATCCCTATGTAATAGTGAGGAATGGGTGCTATGTGAATTGAATAATCAGATGTCCCAATTGCAGTCACCATTCCCTGGAGACGATGAGGAGGAAGTCTTTGACAGCATTGTCAATGATGAAGTCCGGTATCCACGATTCCTTTCATCTGAGGCACTTTCTATAATCCGGAAGGTAATGGGCTTGATGGGTCGCTGAGGAATTTGCATTTATTGTGGAAGTGGATCCAGAGGGACTCTGTTAGGACTGGATAACATTTGTGTGTGTAATCTGGAGCTGCCTGCGCAGACTAAGGAAACATTTAACATTTACACATATTTTTCCTTTCCTTCCCTTTACATAAATGTTATTCTTCTGTCTAAGGATGACTAAGCAGACTTCTTACTGAGGGCTGTTGCTGCCAAGTCTGACATGGAAAAGTGTTGATTCAAGGGCAGGAATGTCAGAGTCATTCAGTTTTTAAATTTAACCCAGTAGTCAGGGGTTCACAATTAAGATGAGATGCTTCATGCAGTTTATAGGAGGTACCTCAATGATGTGGGCAAGTTATTTACAAGGAGCTAGGCCTGAGCTATTACTAGCAGATTTATGACCTTGCTGCAAAGTGAGAATGAGAAGATACCGAGGGGTCAGTCCATCTCCTTTTTTTTCTTTTTTTTTCCTCTGGAATATGATTTCTGTCCACCTTTGTTCACAGTGTTTAATTTTGACCTGATATTTCCTGCAGCTTCTTCAGAAATGTCCAGAGCGTAGACTGGGAGCAGGGGAAAAAGATGCAGAAGAGATTAAAATCCAGGCCTTTTTTAAGGTAGGAACTCACTTTATCCCTCCTCCTCATCTCTTGTGCTTGAGCTGAGAGTGATATACTTTCTGTTGGTATGGAGGCATGTTTTCTATTAGTCATCAGTGAGATTTTAGTGGTAGCTTCTATTGCACCTCAGTGCTCTATTCCAGAATGTGTTTCATGTTTGAAATGACATCTCCCAGGAGTGTGTTCTGGGATCTATAAGCTCCCAGAACTGGTTTATTTCTGATTGTGCTGCTTCTAGGTACAAATACACCTACCTTGTAAGCCATAAACATCTAATTTCATAAATAATCTTAATGTCAATTTGGTCTGTTCACTTCCTTCTCTTACAGGGAATTGATTGGGATGCCTTGTTGGCCAGGACTCTGAAGCCCCCTTTTGTGCCCACTATAAGAGACCCAACTGACATTAGCAACTTTGATGAAGAGTTTACATCACAAAAGCCCATCCTTACTCCTCCCGAGGAGGTTGCTCTCCTAACCCGTAAGGAGCAGAATGTCTTCAAGGACTTTGACTTTGTCTCCAGGCACCTTTTAGATGTTTGACTCGAGCTATAAAAAACATGAACAGATTGTTACCACCTTGAGAGAGCGAACAGAGGACTTGGCATGAGCAATGGAAAAGTCAACAGATCTACTAGATCTAGTAGTAGTGCTGATGACCCTGGGATGAGAGTGATCCACAAGCTGTGTTAACCTCCTGTGGGTTTTTTTCAGCCTCCTTTGCTGGAGGGATACTGGATGTCAGTTGTTTTTAAGGAGCAATTAGTTTGACTGGATTTATCTTCTGCTGCCATTACATATAGATGGAAGTGTGGAATTTAAGATGGACTTAATGAAATCAAATAATCTCTGCAACCCAGGTTACTCTTTGCAAAAAGCCTGAGTAAGTAGCACAGCTTTTCAAAGTTGCATAGTATTAGAGGGAATGGCCACTTCTCAACTGTTGTCTAAAAAAAGATACATACAGCATTCCCTCTTTGTAATGATTTTTAAGCTCATTCCCACTCATAATTATGTGTATGCCAGAGAAGGACTGGATTTTAACACAACCAAGACAATGATATTTGGGTTTGATAATGATCCGAGTGATTTATCTTGAGGAAAATTAGTCTCTTTCTACTTCTTTGAGGATGCTAAATCTCAAATACTGTTTTTAATGATATGAAGAAGCCACAGCTTTGCACATTCTATTCTTGAAAATAAAGAAACCATTCCTTATAATGAAATTCCAGCTTTTAATCTCCTTTGTGTTAGCTGAACATTTCAGGTCAGGGCTAACCATATTCTGTCCAACAGGCAGGCTTTTCTCTGTAAATGTTAATAGTAGCATTTCCTTCCTTCCTTCCTCCCTCCCTCTCAGTTGTCTGTGTACACGTTGCATGGTGTCATCCACTGTCACAGACAAATGACTGTAGTCAAATTGTCTCTCCACAGATGTTATCAATATGTATCCTGTATCTTTTGTTGGGATAGTCAAATAATTAGTGTTAATACTGGAAAATCAGTAAGTTAAAGGTGATTTCCTTTGCCTGGTAACATGTGTTGTAATTATACTTGGTAAGATACATTTTTCCTCTTAAATTCATAATATTAGCCTGTTGGAAAAAAAAAGTAGTGCAAGAGTATCTAGAAATGAAGCATCATATTGATCACAAATAGGGAACACACAGCTATTACTCTTTCAGTTTGTCTCCAACAGAGGTAAACAGAAGTTGAAGCAATGCAATTGTGCTGTATATGGAGATAAGGCTCAGTGCAGGTAGTGAGTTGCCACTGTTACATCAAGGCTGGTCAAGAATTCATAGAGGTAAGAGCTATGTTTGTGCAAAACAGGTACTTCACACTGAATCTAGATTTAGTATTTTCAGAGCCAATTATAACTGCATCTGAAATCCCTGTGTTCAAATATCCTTCATCCTCCTGCTCTGCCTTGCAGTCTAATGACCGTTTTAAAGCAGGATATGCATTTTCCTGCCCTTTGTTTGAACAGTGCTGCCTGGCTTGCTGTTGGCCCCTACAGTGTGTTTTGTGACTTTTCTTAAGGTCAAAGCCTTTGTAAAGTGATCAGTAAAGTGGATTGTTAGCACAGTGAAATCTAGAACTTGGGTTCAAAGAAGGAGGCGTAACCAAAAAGGCATATTTAATTTTTTAATCCAGAAAAAAGACAGTAAATTACCATCCTGGTGCATTCTAAGAATTACCAAGCAGTGCAAAACTGTGTGTTCTGAGTTGTAGTATCTGCTGAGGAGCTTTTATTTGACTGATACTTGAAGAACCAGAGATTATGATGTGGCCAATGAGCCACACTGACACAAACTGCAGAATCTTCTCTGGATGACATGCCATTGTTATGAAAATAATTCTTAGTGTTCTGATTTCCCTCTGATAGGAGTTTCTACCCTGAACTAACCAGGCTGGAAACAGATCACAAGCACTGGAGTTGGTAAAAAAAGGGATGCTGTTCTGCTTTTGGACTATCATGCTGTGTTAGTGACTACACTGTCCTTCCATGAGTGCTCATCAGCTTTAAATCCTGAGTGCTTTCTACCAGCTCACCGGATGTGCTCTTGAGCTGGTGCATTTCCTGAGCCAAGGCAATTAAGGCACAAAATCATTTTAATGTTAAAGTTTATTTTGCTGCTTGTTTGGTTTTGTTGTTGGTTTTGGTTTGTTGGGGGTTTTCTTACAGAAAAGGCTCAGGACTAAACTTCACACCATAGCCTTTTCTACTTTTAAAGCTAAAATCAGTTATCCCATACTTTCTTTAGTTCATTATGGAAGTCTGACCTTTTATTCCACTGGAACACAAGTAAGCTTGCTGCTGTCCTAGAAGGCTGTCAATCCTCCTTCACCTCAGTGAAACACACAGGACCTACAATCTTTCCTTTTGCACTGAAACTTGGTATTCTTTTATAAATTTTTATTAGTATGTTGAGGTAGTAATATTGCCAACAGTGTTACTGGAGCTAGGCAAGAAGTATCCACCTCTACTGCTGGTTCTTTCCCCACAAGCTACAGTAAAGGCCTGAGCATGAAGTTATCTGCAGAAATAATTCTGTATGTAAGTATGTTGGTATTATTCTTTGCTGAGTTGATTCAAAAATAGTCTCTGAATTGTTAACAGCACCATCAGTTTAGAGAAAAAACCCTTAGGAAGCTGGTCAGAGCATTATCTCATAATCTGAATGTACTGTTTTACAGCTGTTTCTCATGCACATTAACACTATTAAAGCCTCAGATCTTTGTAAAAAAGCATTAAGTTGAGGCATGTGGTCAAAATGAAATTTGCCTTTGACTGTCCAAATATTGACTCAAGTATTTCTATTACATGCCTAACACTACTGACAAAAGGCACTGCAGTTCTCACAGTGAGAACCAGGTTGAAGAAAGGCCACGGGAATTATATTGATTCTCGCTGATTTTGTCTGTAATTGCTGTTCTTTGGCAGCAAAAGGAGAGGGAAGCTTTGGGGAAGCGAATGTGGATGATCACACTGCTCATTTGTCTCTTCTGGGGAGATATGGATGCAGTTACAAAAGGAAGTAAATTTAGAGAGAGACCTTTGCTCCATCCAGAACTCAGCTCTGCTGCCCTTCCCAGACCCAGTGTTTAACAGTGTTACCCATATGTAAAAAAAATAACCGACTTATCCTTGAAGTGTAATCTGCAGGATGAACAGTTTGTGGAATAAGCTGCATAGTTCAAGATGTACTGAAGTTCCATCTAAGGCAAGAGCAGCAATTGCATTAGCAAAGCTTTACCCAGCAGATGTGTTGGCGCTCTACCAGGTAGGTGCTGCTGTGACTAGACAGGCTCATTGTTCCTGTGAAAATAGATTTTCTCCCATGCAGTCAGGTGGCACGAACAGAAGAATCTCCAGAGATTGAGGATGACCCCTTGGTCAAAGGGATTCTCCAACTCGGAGTGTCGCAGGTAGGAGATGCGATGATGTGACATGAATTCCCAGGTGGTGGTGTTGCATGAGATCAGATAGAAGTGTGAAATGAGCAGCAGCACAACAACAATGGTGAATATAACTATCAGGAGAAAGGATGTGAGGAGGAAAATGTTGTGATTCAGCCACTCCCAGGACAGTTCAAAGTAGAGGCCTGACCTGTCAATTCAAAGAGCAATAAATTCATGGTTAAAAATGTTGAGCTAGTTTCATAAGCCAAGCGACCTTGATGGAACATGTAAGTTGGTACATAACTACTGAACTTCTGATAATCATGTTCTACAGAGAGTTATAATTATACTGTTAATATACTGTTACTTAAGAGTTAATAAACTCTTAAGAGTCTGCACCAATAGTGACTTAGTATCTAAGAAGTTAAAAAGATACTGGTTCCCCTGACAGCTGAGACAATCATCTTCGGTTAACTCCTCCTGAACAGGCTGAAACCCTGTTGGTGTTTCCAGTACTTGGATTTGTAAACCCAGGTCTTATTAGAGTAACTGAAGCAAAATCAGTTTTTGTACTGCTGTGAATTCTGGTAATTAAATCTTAATGATGAATATGAAACCTAAATTATCAGATTCTGCTCAACTATTGCTCAGCTATGTTGTCCCTCAGCAGATTAGGGAGCTCCAGGGTGCAAAAGAGGGTGAAGATCCAAAGCCTACAATTACTGCTTTGCTCTACAGAACCCCTTCAGTGGGACTCTAGCAACATCAGAACATTTAGCCATCTCAGAGGTCAGAGTGCTGCCTCAAGGCCTTACCAAGCAACCTGACCTCCCCACAGCAGCACGACAAGCTGCACACTCAGGTAGACTATAAAGAAGGGGTGATTCTTTTCTCCTATGCAGTTCTCAATCCAGGGACAGTGATGGTCGTAGCGCCGCACGCAGTGCTGGCACAGCTGGCAGTGCCTGGCTCGCATCGGCTGCTGCAAAACACAACCAACAAAAAGAGAAGAAAACCACTAGCAATAGCCTGCTATTGTGGTTGTGCTAGTGTGGTAGAAGAGAACATTATGCAAAACTCCCGTCCTCCACAGCGTTACTGTCCCAAAACCACTCTTTTTTGAGATAACAGCACAACATACACGGCTAAGACAACTAAAGGGGATCGTGATCTCCCTGGTAAAGGTCCAAATGAATGAGTTCCAAATTAAATTATTCTCCAACATTACTTCTAGCTATATTTTTCAATCTACTTATTTATAGGAAGTTCAGTGTGTAAGGGAGGGAGCTAGAGCCAATCGGTCTATTCAGGATTGATGTGGAAAGCTAGGACGACGAGTGTTGAATAAAGTGGGCAGAGATGGGATGTTCTTACGTGACTGCATGGAGGAGGGAAATGTCTCTGCTGCTGGGGAAACACAACACACACACACAGAGGAAAGGGACTCAAGTGCCAGGAGCAGAGAATATGAAAGATCTGGCTGAGAAAAGTAGTGCCCCCTAGGATTTGTTCCCCAAGGCATATATATGTCTTGCCAGTTTTTCCTCTTGTAATAAGTTCACTTCTCCTGGTAGATATTCTTCAGGAATTCATGGAAGCTAGGATAATGCTTGATTTTATTAAACTGATAAGCATCACTGTGAAAACAGGCTTTTCTAGGCTTTAGGCAAACTATTTTAAGAGCTAATCTAATTGCTCTAATTTTTCCTTCATGCTGTCTTTTACAACTCAGACTAACATTTTGCTGGGTTTAGACCTCCAAATGATAGAGATAGCAACAGTTTTTGTATGTCATGCTTGGATGCCTTTATCACAGTATCTTCAAAATAACCTTTTTGACAATACTGTAAAGTCTGACTGACATGGCAGTAAGAATGTTGCAAAAGATCCTTGTTTCTGTAAGCCAGCAGGGAATTGTTTCAGCCTCAGAAAACAGCAATGCCCATGACTACATCTTTAGCTACATAGTTCCTTTGGATCACTTCAATTCAGAACTGTATTGGAATTCAATTTGCTCGTTGTGCTTATTTTTTCTGTGAGTTTTTCAGCAAAGGGTGACCCTTTGATAGAATCAATCAGATCTGCCATGCCTCCAAGCAGCTGAGCAGAGAGCAGCAGTGATAGAAAAGCAACAGCTGCTGAACAAAGAGGTTGCCAAAACATGTAAGCTTGGGAATTGCCCATCCCATCCTCTTCTAGTGTGTTACAAATGCCTACTTTCCCCATGAACACCTACCTTCACCATGCAGTAACCACAACGCCGCAGCTTAACATTACTTGGAACCAGGGGTATGACCACGCTTTGTTCTTCACTCTTGTC